CTCCTGCGATGTATTTGGCATTCTCCAGAAATGTGTATAGGGCTACATATTCAGAATGAGCCTGGGTTTGAATAAAATTGGGGTCTGAGTTTGGTGAATCGTTACATGCCTAGTTTTGAAACATCCTAGAAAAAGTTCTCACCTGCTGCGGTTAGACGTTGCTCTGCCACTATCTGCTGTTTCTTCTCATCACATTTTTCAGTTTCGCTTGATTTCAGGAGTTGTTTATCATTTTTCTCATCCATTTTTATGAATGAGTTTCTAAATGAGCCTTGCCTTTTATTATTCCTGTCTTCTTGTGTGACTGCAGAACATGTGCCTTCATACGCTTGAATTCTCCTAATTGTAGACCCACTGGTATTATTAAAATGTTTATTTTTTGTCACATCATTATTTGTGTGATTCATAATTTGGCTCTCGATTAGAGATTTTAAGACGGCCTTGTTGCTGAAACACTGCTCTTTATTATATTTGATGGTTTCATCAATCTTCTCCAGAAGCTCTGCGATTTCAGTTTGCTTAATGTCTTTTGTACTGCTGATCTCATGGTATTTACTTCTGAAGTGATCGATTAGCTTCTGAAATTTAGTATTTTGCTTAAAGTGTGTCCACTCCTTCACTGATAGTTTCCCTCTTCCGATAAACAGCACCATTGTGAACTTCGAGACATGAGGTCTGAAGTTCTTCAGGATTTCCTGCTCAATGTTCCAGTGGTCGTCTGTGAAGTTCTCCAGGTTGATGATGAGCAAAAACACGTGAGGTCCAGGAGAACAGAGATCCAGGCTCTTCATCATCTGCTTCTGCAGCTCTTCATCAGTCAGGTGAGTGTTGAAGAATCCTGGAGTGTCGATGATGGAGATGTTTCTGGCTTTTACTCTTCCTGTCTGCATCTCACTCTCTCTCGTTCCGCTCTCTTTAAACACCTTTCGACCCAGTATTGCGTTTCCCATTGAACTCTTTCCAGCTCCAGAAGCTCCCAGCAGCACAATCCTCACATGAGGTGTTTTATCTGTCAAACACATCACGTAATTAGCTAGAAATCACAACATGTGCCCTAGCGCTCATATAAAGTCTTTGCATTGACTTGTTTTTAGTCATGAGACAAAGTAGACATTGACTTGTAAAAATCTAATGGGACATAAATCTAATTATTAATTTAACTTAATTTTATTAGTGTTTTAAATGTATAAAGAATAAAACTATAATAATTGAAATTAAACAATACTACTGAATGGTAGATTCTTAATCGGTGTATTTTCTTACTCTAATCAAAATCATTCCAATGTCCAACATACGTAGTCAAGATGAATCTCATTCCCTGGATAAGTAGCTGCTATTTAGCGGTTGCTATCTGGAAATAACATACCCTGGAATGTCGCAATTGACCAATCAGAATCAAGTATTCCAGTCAGCAGTGTAATAATAATAATATTTAATAATAACTATTAATGCTTAAAGCAGTGTTAGAGGACTAAGTACCAAATGGTGATCAGTGTTTGTTTAAGTTGTGCTTTTTGACTGAAGTTCTGCACAAGACTTTTAGCCAGCGGAGAAATTAAAATGGTCGTGCCGAACTGAGTCTGGTTCTCTCAAGGTTTTTTTTCTTCACTCCCATCAGGTGAAGTTTTTTTTCCCTCTCCGCTGTCGCCACTGGCTCGCATGGTTCAGGATTGGTAGGGCTACGCATGGATGAATTTGTTCTTCAGTGTTTGAACTCACAGTAATGATTAAATCACACTGAACTGAGCTAAACTGAACTGAACTTAAACACTAAAACCTGAACTACACTGTTCCAGTTACTATGACCATTTATGTGAAGCTGCTTTGACACAATCTACATTGTAAAAGCGCTGTACAAATAAAAAAAAAAGCTGAATATTTACACCTGTTTTAGCGGCACTTGTTTGGTTGTTGTTGTTTGGCTTCTATAAATAAATTTTCATACAACACAGCCATATATTATTTAATATTATTATTATTACTAGATGTCTCTCAGGAATACTTGATTCTAATTGGTCAGTCACAACATTACAAGGCATTGATTGATGTTAGATAACAAGTGCAGCAAGACACCAAGCATAAACCACTGAGGATTTCATGTATAATAATCAGTAAAATAATGTTATTGCGCATTAGAACACATCCAGAAATTAAACGATCAGTAAACCAAGAAACTGAGTGATTAAAACCAAACCAAAATGACCAGATAATTTATCATGCTGGCTTTTTGCCCTAACAAACATAATACCAAACACAAAATCACAAAAGAAAACAGATAAAAATCAATGTTTAGAAGACGAAGATCACAGCTAAAGCAAACACTGACCACAACTATGGTGACTTCAAATGAAAGGTTTTAAATAAAAGGTTTTATTTTAGATATCAGCATATAAACCTTGTGTCAACCTTGATAAGAACTTGTGTAGACTAATGACAAAAGCAAAGTCGAACTGGTTTATAATAAGAGAAATGCAAATGCTGTTTGTGATTTACTCAACAGATATGACTGTACTATATATATATATATATATATATATATATATATATATATATATATATATATATATATATATATATATATATATATATATATATATATATATATATAA